ACGCACCAAAACGAGGAGGAACACGAAGCATTTTATATGGAATTGGAGAAGTTCTACAAGGAAGATCATACCTTCTTCAAGGTCATCGTCGGCGACTTCAACGCCAAGATTGGCCCAAGAAGAACGGCTGAAGAACTTCACATCGGTACTCACGGAATGGATTGGAATGAGCAGGGCGAAAGACTGTCTGAGTTTATCATGTCCCGACCAATTCTTGCTCAAATCTCTTCAAGTCAATTGTGTTATTACGAAATATGTCGGTGTGTTAATGAAGGATCTAAACCGTTAGCCAGGAATTTTGGAAAATCAAACCCGCATCGGAAATAACTAATTAGAAGTCGAAATAGATCAGTGACAATAATGAACGATTATGCTTTACGATCCGTCAAATGCACGCTGTTACAAGGAGAACAGTGGAGAAGATCAGTGTTGTTTGGTTCTATTGGTGATCAGTCCTGAACTAGTGGTTCACTCGCAATAGCAAAGACGACACGAGCTGTGATTGTAACCTTAAACAGTAACATCACGCTGCGCCTGCGCTCACTTTTGATGAGGACCGCTTGCGTCATGACTTGGAAGTTAAAGCTAGTCCCATAGTTTTGTTGGAGAGACCTGGGAAAATGAGATGCATCATCGCTCGCCATCTGTATCAAAACGGCTGCAACAGAATGAAGCCTCGATAGAAACCGCATGCACCGACCGACCATGACCGAGAAGCACGTCTGACCATCTGTGGAAATCTTCTCTTGCTGTCGCATGAAAGGAGTTTTCCCCAGTCGTTCACCAACAGAGACCTCCGGTCAGGAGCTCACTGCGCCAACAACACGCGGCATATCTGATGGATACCTTACATTCAAAACTCACCAACTATACCAAAGCCCAGACTCCATGTTCGGAGGACATTGCTTCTGATCTGTTAGATTGGGTGCTTATCGCTTAATCTAAAAGATCTAGCCTGCGTTGACCCTTCGCTATATGTAGACAAATAATGCGAAGACCATGGCCACAGCTCCCGGGGTGGCCGCAGCGACGCGAGCGAAACGGGATTTTCGGAGACAGGGTTCTTTGATAAATCTTCTTCAACCGCCGTAGATATTCGCAATCAATTCTCTGGACGACGAATTTGGCCTGAAACTCGCCAGCAAACGCCTTCTACGTATCCGCATTTGCAGAGAGCAAACCTGTACAAGCGATTCACATGTAACACAGACTGACCGACGCACATTGCTGACGAGGGTATTGAGGGATATCTTGGCCGAAAAAGGTTATCGAATGCGTCATGACACATGTTCAAGCAGGGTCAACCCTATCGTTGTTACTCTTTGGAAATTTTTTACGACCCCCCCCCCTTCATGGGTGATTTGATACGACCCCCCTTGTATGTGACACTTGTGTAGAGACAGTGTTTACCATCAATATTTATTTCTACGTAAGTCATCAAAGATGAAACTTTAGCAAAATCCACGACAGATATTCATCGCTGCTTCACAAC